AGAGAAAGAGGAAAATTTTCATTTTGGGTGAAGAAAGAAGAGGGGAGAGGGAAAGTTTTTGAAATCTATAAAATATCTTTTTGGGAAGAGAGGAGAAGAGGATGGAAAGTTAAAATTTTCTTTTAAAAGAGAGAGAGTGATAGAAAGTTGGGAAAAACCATATACGTAAAATTTCAAAATTTCCCTCTATTTCATATGCAAATCATTTCGAAAGATTGTGAAAAGAGAGAAGAGAGAAGAAGAAGATTGGGAAGAGAGGGAAAGAATAGAGAGGAGAGAGGAGACAACGAGATGATATAAGAAAAAAATATAGAAAACTTGGATTTTGAGGAGAGATGTAAAAATCAATTCTATCCTAAAAAAAAATGGAAATTACTAAAACACAAAACTTATATTTTCTACCCACTTCGTGTCAAATTACATATTGCCCGTTCTATCTTTCATTTCACTTTTTTTTCTCTTCCATTATTATTTCTCTTTCTCATTCTTCATCTCATGACAAATTGAAAATTTTTTAATCAATTTCTTCCTGCACATACCAAAGATGAATAAAGAAACAAAAAAAAAAACAAGGATGAAATGTGAATCTTTTTCTGTTTCGATCTTGTCATATGTATCTTTCTTGGTCTCAGATGCTAGATTTTAGAGAAAGATAGATTATAACATGTCGAGGTGGAGAATTAAACTCACAATCTTTTAATTTGAGATATGTCAATTACCGCTAAACTACGATCGCTTTGAAAAATAAACTAAAAATTTAAAATAAAAAATTGAGTTGGATTTGGTCGATTTGGTTGTGCACCCAATTTTTTGGTAGTTGGGCATTTAGCCCAATTGTCCACAAAATTAAGTATTGAAAAGAAAAAAGAAAGGAGATTGTGAGTTTCGAAACTTGGAACACACGTCAGGGATAAGACTGACTGAGAGAGAATCCGTTTGTTTGTGGTGGCAAAGCGGGAGAAGCAAAGAGAGGGCAAGCGTGTTGATTGATTGACTGTATGATAGAAGATGGCTGGAAATGGAATTGGAATTGGAATTGGAATATTGGAGGGTACATCGGAGGATCTTTGGCGAGGGAGCTTTTACGGTACTTGGGGCACCCTTTTGGTTCTCCTCTTCATTTCAATTTGTCATCTCTTCTCTTCCCTTCTCTCCCGCTTCCGAACCTCGCCTCCTCTCCCACTCCTCGCTGATGCCCACGACGCCTCTCCTTCGCCTCCTCCACAGTTGCGTTTCTTTTCTCTCTCTCTCTCTCTCTCTCTTGTCATTTTTCACTTTTTCTTCATGATTCTTGCTTTTACTCTGCCAATTTGTACTTTCACTCACTGGGTACGTTTTGTTGAGAATCTTACAATCGATGCTTGCCATGAGATTGGAAAAAGAAGGTCTTTGCTCGGAAATTGACCGGAATTCTTTTAGTTGTTACTGCTTCTGAAGGGTAATTGAGGAGCGAGCTGCAATAGGAAACTCTTTTCCTCTCTCCTATTCAAAACTCAGGACTGAGGTAGATATCAGCTGCTTAAATCAGACAAGGAAGGAGGTCTGGATTCCCTTGACTCTTCATCCTGGAAGTTTTATTAGAAAGTACAAAATCTCTCTCCCTACAGCTTGCCTTGCATGGAACAAAAACAAATGCCCATAAAAGGTTAAGTTCTTATGGGAATTGAGTCACCGGTGCTTAAACACGATCATCTTCCTAGGATGGTGCCCATTATGTGAAAAAGCATCACAATCTCTAAGTAATTTGTTTTATCACTTGCACTCATGCTAAGCTCTTTTGGGACCACATTTTACACACCTTCAATTGGTCTGTAGTGCTTCCAGGGGATCCTTTCACCCTTATAGCTATGGTTCTAACTGGACACCCATTTAAGAAAGGAAAGAAAACCTTATGGATCAACATCATCAAAGCTTTCTTTTGGTCAACATGGACAATGAGGAATGGCCGCATTTTTTAAGATAAGGGACAAGCTTCGATAGCTTCTTAGACACCCTTTTCTTTTTCGCTTTATCTTGGTGTAAATTATCACACCTTTCCATAGTTATCATATATTTTCCCTCCATTCCCCATGATAAGGTTGATTGTAATTTCATTTTTCTTAATAAAAAAAAAGGAAAAAACCAGAAAACGAAAAAGCTTTCATTTCACTTATTGAATTTGTAAATGAAAACATGTTCTTATGATGTGAAGTATGTCGACTATGTTTGAATATTATGGATTTGAGATATTATCATTACATCACCTTCGTTTTGCTAGCAGTTAAGTGATTTTGAAGATCATCTTATTTGTGCAGAATTACGGAGGCTATATCAGATACAGATTTGAAGTCTTTATTGGATAACTTGGATGGAAAGCTCAATGAGAATGAGAAATGGGAAAGTGTAGTAGAAAAAAGTAATAATCTTCTTTCATACAGTGCTAAATGCTGCAAGCCTAAGGTTCTCATCCCCTATGTCCTTATGTTCATGTGTGGAATGAGATTTTGATCTTTTTATGAACTACTTTTATTATTCTATTTGTAAAATCTGGGAGTTCTTTGCTTATTTGCTTTGTGAAGTTAATGATTTTCTGAGATCGGGTTGGTCAAATATTGATCTTGTTGCAGGATGGTCCCTTGAAATACTTGAGTGTGACAATATTTGAAAATTGCTGTCCTAAATTGTTGAGAGACTTCTACATGGACAGTGATTTTAGAAAACAGTGGGACAATACCATACTTATGCACGAGCAGCTACAAGTGGATGAAATCAGTGGAATTGAAGTCGGTCGCACCTTAAAAAAGTTTCCTTTATTGATGCCCAGGGAGTATATTCTATCATGGAGATTGTGGGAGGGGAAAGATGAAACGTTTTACTGCTTTACCAAGGTACTGATTTTAATACTTTGCCTGCAACACACACACTAACGCACATGCACATAACAAGAAAGTATGTATTTATTCCATTGATATTGTTTTGATGATTCTCATTTCTCAAAGACTCAAACAAGCACAGCTCACTATATTGAGGTTCATATCCAAGAGGATTGCATTGTATTACGAATCTCTCTATCACTTGGCTTCTGGTTTCCAAAGATTTATATATATATATATTTTTATAAGAAACAGAAACTTTGTATAGAAAGAACCCTGTACATATATATTTTTTTTATAAGAAACATAAACTTTGTATAGAAAGAACCGTGTAAAGCCTAAAGGCTGGGGGTGAGAAAGCCCCCACCTTAGTGTAGAGCTGCTTTCCAGTCACGAATGAGCATGGCAAGACTGTAGTTACGAAAAGAATTCCTGAAGTTTAAACACCAAGAAGACACTAGAATTTGTTCAACATTACAGAAAGAATCAAGAGACATATGTCTATTATTCAGGATTTGATTGTTCCTTTCCTTCCAAATGCTCCACATCAAAACTCTTACTGCACAGCCCCAGAGAATTTTAGCTTTACCTCTGAACATCCCACCCCGTAAAGCCTAAGGGTCCATTCTTCTGCAGAACTGGGCATGCAGCTATGAAGGTCGAACACATTAAACAAGAAGGACCAAGAAAGAGAGATGATTTTACAATGTAATAAGATGTGGTATAGACTTCCAGGTGCCCGAAAACAAAAGCAGCACGTTGAGGGCGAAATACCCCAGGTGGGAAGCTTTTTTTTGCAGAACCTCGTAGGTGTTTAGGCTTTTGAGGGCTAAACTACCCAAAAAAAAACTTTGATTTTCTTTGGGCAGGAAAACTTCCAAATCAACGTAATCAAGGAATCTTTAATCTTGAGAGAGTGAGTAGTTAATCACATGAAAACAGACTTGGTGGAGAAAGTCTGTGAATTATCTCGAGTCCATAAGATATTGTCCTCACCCCTGCCCCTTCTGAAACCCAAGTTCCAATCTCCAAGCTCATCAACCCAGCAATCTGCCACTGAAGCCTCCTGCTTAGTTGAAATTTGATATAGCTCCGAATAAAGAAAGCACAGAGGGGTGTCGGACAGCCGCGCATTTTTCCAGAAGCTAATTCTATGTCCATCATTTGCCTTAAAACGAACGAAGTTAAGGAAAGAAGGGCTATATTTGGCAATTTCAACCCAAGGCCTCCCATTTACCTTTCCTTTTGGGGGAAGGGTAACCCACCCATAGAGCTCCTCACCATAAATGCTAGCAATGATGCACCTCCAAAGAGCATGCTTTTCGGTCGAGAACCTCCACAACCATTTATAAAGAAGGGTAGCATTTGTTGTCTGAAGCAGCCGAGCCCTAAACCACCATAAGCCTTTGGCAAAGAGGTAACATACCCAAGTTCCTTCTCTGGTTCAAAGAAGCATCCAGCAGCCCTATATCTTCTTGCTTATCAATTTGATCAAGCTCTTGCTGAAGGGAACCTTTCTCCCTGCCTATAAGACCAAAAACCTCTCTGTTTCATCTTTGCATAATCTGTTTTATGCTTCTAAGCCTGTCCATGAAGGCAAAACCGGACCAGCCCAAGGGTCGAAGAGCTTCCCACCAATCCTTGAAATTCATCAAAAAGGAGGGATGATCAAGCCACATATTCTCAAATTTGAAAGGAGTTGGCCCTCATTTCTGAGCTCCGAAGCTTAGAGCAAGGGGAAAATGGTCTGAAGTAGTACGAGAAAGTCTTGTTAAAGACACATCTTGGTAAGCCAAGGACTAGGCTTGAGAAATGAGGAACCTATCCGTTCTAGTTGCCAGAGTTGTCTCTACCGCTAGAGCACGTAAACAACCCGTTCTTCATAGGAATGTCAACCAGATTCAGATTGTTGATTAGAGAGTTAAAGGACCGCATACTTTTAGTAACTCTGCCACCCCTCGACTTCTCGTGCTAGAAATCCTCCCTGCCCATAGGAGAGGTTGGGCTGTGAACCCCTGTAATCCAGCCTTTGTAAATGTTATTAAAGCAACAGTAAAGGGATGCTGGGAGGCAAATTCTGGATAAGGTGCTCATTGCCAATGAGGCAATTGAGGACTAGAGGAAAATAAAGCAGGAAGGTATCATTTTTAAGCTACACTTTGAAAAAGCTTATGATTATGTCAACTGGAGCTTTCTGGATAAAGTGTTAGGGAAGAATGGTTTTGGCTCTGAGTGGAGATCTTGGATTTGGAACTATTTACGGTCGGTCAACTTTTTTGTCCTGCTTAATGGGAGACCTAGGGGAAAGATTCAAGCCACAAGGGTCTGAGCCAAGGAGACCCTCTATCCCCGTTTCTCTTCATCCTCGTGGTGGATATTTTGAGCAAATTGGTCTCTTCAGGTGTGGATAAGGGGTTTTGTTGTGGGAAGAGATAGGACAAGTCTCTTCCATCTTCAGTTTGCTGATGATACTTTCCTATTCTGTGCGGGGAAGGAAGCCTCCTTTAGTAACTTGAACATCCTGTTGTCGTGTTTTGAGTCTATCTCGGGGCTCAAGATTAATAGAGGCAAGAGTTCGGCGATTCCTTTAAGCTTCTACATTGTGGGCTTCCTCGGTCCGGTACGAAGTGAGTGTTTTCCTGACATCATATTTGGGTCTTCTTTTGGGGCATAATCCTAAGACCCTTCCCTTCTAGGCCTCAGTGTTGGAGAAGATTTAGAAGCGTCTGTCCCTGTGGAAAAAAAGCTTTTTTTTCTAAAGGAGGGAGATTAATGTTTATTCAAGCAACTTTAATTGGGTTTCCGACATACTACTTCTCTGTTCTAAAGCCCTTGTGGTTGTTTGTAAGTGTTTGGAAGAATAATGAGAGATTTCTTGTGGAGGTGGTGGACAAGGGGGTGGAATTCACTTAGTTAATTGGGGGGTGGTTTCCAAGCTGTGAGAGGCTGGAGGTTTGGGCATTGGGAACTTGAGACGTAGAAATGATGCGCTTTTGGCTAAATGGTTGTGGCGGTTCTTCCAAGAGTCTAGTGCTTTGTGATGGAGGATTATGGTGAGCAAGTATTGGCCGCACCCTTTTGATTGGGTCTTAGACGGAGGGCTTAAGGTTTGCGCTAATAACCCCTAGAACACTATTTCCTCCGGTTTTCTTTTCTTCTCCCAATTTTTGTCTTGTGTGGTTGGCGATGGTCGTGACATCTATTTCTAGGAGGACCTTTTGGTGGGGGAAGGCCTCTTTGTTCTTTATTTCCTCGTCTTCTTCTCTTATTGGATAGGAGGTTGCATTCATGTGCTAGATTTTAGGGGGGAAGGGTTGTCTATTTCCTTAGGCCTCTGTCGGTCTTTGACTGACAAAGAGTCTCGGGAAGCGGCTGAGTTGTTCCATCAGCTCTTTTCTTTCGTGATAGGAAGGATTTTTGTGCCTGGTCCCTTAGTCCGTCCAAGGGTTTCTCTTGTAGTTCCTTTCTTAAGCTTTTGTGTTCCACTATTCTTCCCCCGCTACCTCAGTGTTTGCCTCACTTTGGAAAGTGAAAATTTCGAAGAAGATCAAGTTTTTCGTGTGGCATGTCTTACTTGGAAAAGTCAACACCCTGGATCATATTCAGAAGCGGCCTTCTTCCTGTTTGGGGCCGCAATGACGTGTTCTTTGCAAGTAGGATTCAGAATATCTTGATCACATCTTATGACATTGTCAGTTTTCCAAGGATATTTGGGGCCGGTTCTTTGAGATTTTTGCGATGACTTGGGTTCATCAAAGAGATTGGGGGGCTATGATGGAGGAAGTGCTTTTGTTTCCCTTTTTTTAGAGAGAGAGGGAGTTTTTTGTGGCAGGGTTGTTTCTTTGCGATTTTGCGGGGATTTGGTTGGAGAGAAAAAACAGAATATTTAGGGGTGGAGAGAGATAGGGAGTCTATTTGGGATCTCATTAGGTTTAATGTCTCTTTTTGGGGATCTGTTTCGAATTTGTTTTGTAATCATTAGTTAGGTTTTATTCTTTTGGATTGGAAGCCCTTTCTTTAGGTAGGGCTCCTCCTTCTAGGCTTTTGTTTTTGTATGCCCTTGTCTATGTGTTTCTGTTTTCATTTGTCTGAATGAAAAGTTCGGTTTCTTGTAAATAAAAACTAACTATTATTAATAGTGGGGTAACAGAGGATATTTAGAGAAGTAGATTAGAAAAATAATGGAATTTAGGTTAGAAACAAGATGGACATGTGAGAAATAAGCAAATGAAAAAATTATTTACATACGATAAAGGACAAAGAATTAATAAGGAATTGAATAAAAAATAATAATAAAACAAAAAAATAAAATAAAAATAAAATTGATTAAGTGAGCTGGCCCTCAATGATGCACCAACACTTACATTATGAGTGCTTTTTTTTTTAAACTAAATATAATCAAGGACAAATTTACGAGGAAGAAAAGTGACAACCCCCATTCAAAGCCAAGGAGATTTTGAAGTCTTCCTAATTGGCTTCTATATTAGAAAAGGAAAATAAGAATCCCTCCCAATTTTCAATTCGCTTAGTCTATATTAGGATTTGAGAATAAAGGAAGATGTTCAAAATTGACACCAAATTTCGTAATTAATGTCTTTTTCCTCTCGGAAGTTTGCAAAAACTAGGAGATTGTGAATCTTGTATTGGTATTTCTGGATTCAATGTCTAATTGTTTCAAGCTACTTTTTGTCACTACTTAGTTTATTTCCTTGGGAATGACTTTTGGCAGGAATGCGAACATCCTTCGGCACCACAACAAAAGAAGTATGTCCGAGTGACGTTTTTCAGATCTGGTTGGCGAATCAGGAGAGGCAAGTGGCTACCATTTTTCTTGTTGCTTTTTTATGGTCAATCGTTTTTTATTTCACCTATGAACATTGCATATTCTATCAAAGAAACTCCAAATCCAATTGCATATTGTTAATTACTCAAAAGGTCATCAGAAATGAGGTATAGATTATGTTTGAAAAAAGTTCTGTTCCTAATTTGTTATGCTGTCTTGGAGGTTATAAATGGTTAAGTAACGTTTCTTTTCTCGATAGGGCTTTATTTGAAAATATTAGGGCAAACTATCTTTTAGTCCCCTTTTGCTTACTTCTCAAGAAAGTTTCTATTTGCTCCCAACATTTCTTTCTACTGTCAAGGAAAGGTGATTGGATATATATATATATATATATATATATTTTTATTAATCTTTTAACATTAATTGTGTTAACATTGACATTTGCAGCAATTGATTTTATATTTTCCTTATTGCTCACATGGAAATTTTTTTAATTAAGTCAATTTTGTTAATTTACTAAAGACTGAAAAAGAATTTAAACAAAAATTAAACACTCAAATAACACAAGCTTATAAAATCTCCTCTTCTCTACAGCAAGAAAGCATGAGAGCTTTTGTCGGAAATGTGTTTGTAAATTGTAATGATAAGAAAGTAGTGGGTTTGATTAATGAGGAAGACAGAAATGGTTTTGCCTTGGTTTCTTTCCTTTGTTTCCGTTGGAAGTTCTTGTGATGGATATAGGTCAGGTCTAAACCTTTCGTTTCTCTGTGCTAATATTATATATTTAATAAAATAAAATCAGTCAGTTTTTCGTTATCTTATCTTACCCGAAGAAGTGCTGTAAACTATTTTTTAGAATTCAAAGACTAAAACATCACTTTTTGAAATGTGAAATCATATTGAAGCTTTCTTGAGGACTCATGAATAATGGGGAATTTGCAAAATGTAATTATAAGCTAAGCTAGCTATTCGTGTACATTGTACAAGATTTTTTTTCTGTACTCGAGTGCTCAACTACTTATCCTAATGGTTTCCGAAAATTTTAATTGCAGTATCCGGCAGAAATGCATGTGAGATCAGTATGCTGCACCAAGAAGATGCTGGTTTGAATGTGGAGATGGCAAAACTTGCATTTGCAAAGGGCATCTGGAGCTTTGTATGTAAAATGGATAAAGCTTTACGCAACTACGCTCTAACCGATAAACCTCTGTCAAGTTCACTTGTCACTGCAGTTACTCTGATTAAGAAGGTTAATGTTACAGTTTGGTCTTGTTTATTTTGCTGATTTATCAAAGTGTATGTACTTAACTGTTTTGTTAGTTTGCATAGTATGACGGACATTTTTTGGTACATACAGGTTCCAGATGGAATTGAGGACATGAATGGCATGATCTCTAAAGCAGTAAACACTGTAAGAACCGAGTCCGAGTTTGAGGCCGAGTCCTGTGGACAAAATTCTTTGGGGGGGAGAAAATTCTCGAAGGCATCGAAAAAACAGGTGGCGAAAGGTTTGCTTCTACTTGGTGGTGCGATCTGCCTATCGCGGGGTCACTCTAGTCTCGGTGCCAAAGTTGTGATGGCATATATTCTTACAAAGCTAAGTAAGCGAGCAAATGCACCAAGAGGTGAAATAGAGAGCCGTAATTGTATAACATAGTTTAGGCTATGATTTTAATTTTCTTTCAAAGAAATTACCAGTGGAAAATTTGCTGTACAGAGTAGGGACTGTTTAATTTTTGTTATACATCATATGCTTAATTTGTCATTAAAGGTTAAAAGTGATCTATTATCTCTATGGTCACTTGGTTTAGAATCTTCTTTTCAACATTCGTGAAACTAACCTCATAGACTCAGTTTTATCTTTATATTATACAAATCTGGTTTTGTTTAATTTTGTGCTAAGATTGGCTAGAGAAATGAGTTTAAGAAATTTGTAACTAATACTTTAAGAATATTATTGATTCAAATTGTTTGGAATATGAAATTGTAAGGTCATATAAGTTCAAATTCCTTTTCTCATGTTATCGAACATAAAAAATAAAAGATATCGTCAAAGCGAGCATAATTCAGCGGTAATTGGTATGTATTTCCAGTCAAGAGGTTGTGAGTTCGACTTTCATCTCACATGTTGTACTAAAAAAAAATGTATTTCTAAGATGTATTTCTAAGAATCATTCTATATGACACAATACAATTTTTCAAGTGAGGGTGGTGTAATTAGGTCAACCTTGGGCAATTCTTCCTTGGCCCAACAAAGAAACGGATCAAATTTCTGTTCTCTCACCATGATCGAGCGAGAACCGACAGCTATCTACAAGAAAGGCTCCACCAAGAAGGGTTCAAGAAATCAATTTGGGGCCAAGAATTCATCAAGAACAGTGTCAACCCCTCCAAGAACTCAACCACAACCTTCTATTTCAGCAGCACCATGGTATTCTAATTGATTCTTCAAACGATGATGAAGGCTACTAGCTGGAATTTGAAGGCGACAGGCGTGGGTTGCAGACCAATCTGAATAGGCAGCAAGACACGGGTAATTTCAAGATGAAGATTGACCTCCAAGTTTCAGTGGGAGGATGGAAATGGAAGGATTCATGGATTGGATTCGTAATGTAGAATTTTTTTTTTGGTATATGAACACTCTGAAGCACAAAAAAGTGCGTTTGGTGGCCTTGAAACTCAAGGTGGCGCATCTGTTTGGTGGGATCAACTTGAGGTTAATTGACAGCGGTATGGTAAGTGCCCCATTTGCAATTGGAAATAATGAAAAAGTTGATTCGAGAACGATTCCTTCCAGTTAATTTTATACAATCAATATCAAAATTGTCGTCAAGGTACGCGCTTGATTGTTGATTATACGGAAGAATCCCACAGATTAGGCACTAGGACAAATCTTGGTGAAAACCAACACTATTTGGTTGCTCGGTATATTGAAGGTTTGCTCTGACATTAAGGAGCAGATTACCCTCCAACCAATTGGGTATCTTAATGAGACCATTGAAGAGCAAATAAACAATTGGTATAAGAAGCAATATTCACGCCAAACCACTTGGGATCAAGGAGGAACATAAAAGAAGAACTTGATCGAAATCCTTTGAATGTCAGCACTTCTATTGCTACTAAGGACAAACAAATGGACACAGATACCATGAAAGACACTAAGGCCTTAGACACCTTTGTGGGTAAGCATCCTGCTAATGCTTATACTCTGACCTACTTTGTACAAGTGTTTTCGTTGCGGTCAAACAAGGCATTTCTTCAATGAATGCCCCCAACGAAAAGGCATTACTTTTGTTGAAGATGAGGTCCAACAAGATGACAGTGAGGAGGATGAGCAAGATTACGGTGAGGAAGTTGATTATACGGCTCTTGATGAAGGTGATCTTGTTGCATGTGTGTAGTCCAACGACTTCTCCTAACCTCAAAAACCGATATGGTTTATCAAAGGCATGATTTGTTCAAAACATGGTGCACTATCAATGGCAAGATTTGCAACATCATTATTGATAGTGGAAACACTTAAAACATTGTTTCAAGTAAGTTGGTTACAGCTTTAAAATTACCTTTATCCCCTCATCCGGCTCCCTATAAGCTTTCTTGGATCAAGAAAGGGGGTGAAGCTCAAGTGACACATACTTGCATTGTTACCCTATCTATTAGAGCTAGCTACAAAGATCAAATCGTATGTGATGTTATTGACATGGACGTTTGTCATATTTTATTGGGCCGATCGTGGTAATATGACACTCAAGCCATCCATAAGGGACAGGATAATACATATGAGTTTACTTGGATCAGCAAAAAGGTGATTTTGCTTCCTCTTAATCCTTCTAAATCTACTTCTACGAAGGACAATGGCAACAACAAGGGTCATTTGTTTACTACCTCGTCGGCCAAGCAACTTCTCCTTCATAAGGAGTTACCTATACTGGGTTTGGTCATTAAGAATTTTGATTCTGATGCCCCCAACCAGCAATATTCATCCTGAAGTCCAAAAGTTATTGGAGAAGTTCAAGAGCATTGTTGATATTCCAAGTGGGTTGTCTCCCCTTGAAATATTCAACACAATATTGATTTCTTTCCGGGAGCTACACTCCCTAATTTGTCACATTATCGGAGTCCTTCATAATACAAAATTCTCCATGACTAAGTCCAAGAATTATTGGACAAAGGCTATATCAAACCAAGCCTTAGCCCATGTGCTCCTCCGACTTTACTTACACTAGAAAAGGATGGTACATGGCGTATGTATGTGGACAATCGTGCCATAAACAAAATCACTATCAAATATAGATTCCCGTATTCCTCGAATAAGTGATTTAATTTATTGGACCAATTAGAGAGTGCTATTGTATTTTCTAAGGTGGATATTAAAAGTGGCTACCATCAAATTTGTATTTGGCTGGGGATGAATGGAAGATAGCTTTTAAGACCAATGAGGGCTTGTTCGAGTGGCCTGTCATACCTTTTGGTCTTTCCAACGCTCCAAGCACATTCATGCGGCCTATGAATCAGGTTTTGCTTCCTTCTATAAATAAATTTGTTGTCGTTTACTTTGATGATATCTTTATATACAAGCAAAGGTGTCTTGCCCACATTGACCACCTTGGAATGCTGTTCTCTACTTTAGCTGTCAATAGGTTGGTAATAAACCTTAAAAAATGCCTCTTTCTAGCCGCTGAAATTTCTTTCTTAGGGTTCATAATTGGACACAATGAGGTACTATTGCTAAATTGATAGAATCTAAAACAGTAAAAGAAGTACAATGTTTCCTTGGTCTTGCTTCTTTTTATCGAAAGTTTATAAAAGACTTTAGTTCTGTTGCAGCTCTATTAACAAACTATCTAAAAAAGGGTCAATTTTTCTAGGACAAAGACCAATATGAGAGTTTTCACATTATCAAATTATTCGTAATCTTGTGCTTGCTTTGCCCGATTTCGCACCTTTTAAAGTAGCTGTGGATTCTTCCAGTATAGAGATCAGTGTTGTACTCTCTCAAAACCATCAACCTATTGAATACTTTAGTGAGAAACTAATCCCCTCACTTTATAAATATCTATTTTTTTATAAAGTTTTTTTTTGTTTTATTTTTCCTCTCCATTCTCCACCACCATTATTCATTTTCCTGCCATTTTTATAAAAGTGACCACCATATTCTAGAATGGTCGCCTACTCTTGCAGGTCAACCCAGAGTAGTAGGCCCGAGTCTATCAACCTAAGGATGGTCAAACCTAGCGTGATTGGCCCGGGATGGTCTACTCGGGGTTGTTGGGTCGAGGTGGTTGGATTCAACAAAGTATTAGTAAAATCTACTGCCATTTGCTAAAAGTAGATTTGGGGGCCCTTGCGCTAAACAATTGAGATTTGGGGGGATTTTGGTTCTTTACCTTTCCTATATGTTCTTTATGCTTCCTTTGCTTTATCTTTAAACAAGTTTAAAAGTTTCCACTTTCCCATATGAACCATAAGAAAGCATACAAGTGGTAATTTGCACAAGAGAATCTTTTATAAAATTTGTCCAAAGAAGCCAAATTCACACTATCGTTTAGTTTAGTATCAATGAAATTTAGCAACAAACGTAGAGGAATAAAAAAATATATATCATACACAAAATTCACTAATCCACCACCAATTTCAACATTCAACATTCAAGAAATAAAAAACCAATGTCTAAACAAGTAAAATGTTGTTTGTTCAAGACTTGATTTGTAATGGCTACAAATAAATTGTTGTTTGTATAAACTTCCTATTCGTATATCCGTCCCATGGTTACGCAAGGATTCACATAAATGCTCACTATAATCAACACTAAACTGTCGGTGTCACATCACAATTTAAAGATCATTTAAATCTATTTTTCAAGTTCGAAAACTCTCAAGTGTCTGTTACGAAACTTCAGAGACCAAATAAATAGCAAACTCAAACCTGAGGAACTCTACTTTACTCAACTCAAGAAGGATAGAATATCATTAAAAGAATGAAAAGAAAGAAAAAAAAGGGTCAAACCAAACAAGAAAAGGGTCTTTCAATTTCCCTTTTTTCTTTCTTCTCGAGGGAGACCAAACTTAAAATAGTGAATCACCCATAAAAATTACAAAAATTATACAAGAAATGAATGAAGGATATATGCAGAAGTCCCTGTCCCTTGGACGTTAATTCAAAGACGACAACAAAACTCACAGAAAAAAGCAAGACCCCGTTTCCTTATAAAAACCAAAAAAGAAAAAAGAAATAAATATTTCAACTTTACAAATAATGAGTTGAAGTGAAGTGAAATTAAATAAAATTAAATTGCACACACTCCCAAACAAAGCCTACCTTTCTCCACACCATTCATGACTCACTGAAATCTATGCTTCCACTGCGGGAGCTGCTGGCGTTACGACTGTGTAAAGAGAGGCCTCTCATATGCCCACTTCCAACATCCATCTTTTTATCCTTGAAGAACTTCTCCCTTTCTGCATGTTTTACTGGTGGTGGTGGTATTGAAACACCCTGCCCATGCTGCATATCTGATGTCGTTGATGCCTTTTCGTTGATCGGTCGAATGATCGGACGGTTTGCTCGCTCAACTGGAATTGACAATCCTAGCGAACCCAACGATGGTCGCTCCTCTGATGAATCTTCTTCATCTTCAGGTCTTACACAAGCTTTTCCTTTTCGGAGCCTGTCATTGTCCATATCACTCACTACTTAGTTCACTTCCACTTACATGACATGACACGACACCATACTACTTAGTTATGTATTACCTTCGGAAAAGTTGTTCGGCCTCTTCTTCATCTTCCCCTTCGTCGTGGTTACAATGATTTGCAGGCAATCTGGACCTACCGGTATCTTCATCGCTGAAATTATTTTGAGTCGATATGAACTGACCCGAGAGGAGGGCATCGTGTCTTGCAAGGACCTTTTGAAGCTTTTCGTTCAATTCAATTGCACGACAAACGATCTTCTCATCCCTGACCATGATGAAACAAGCGGGAATCTCACTAATAGACCAATAGAATTATATGATTGAAGTAGTAGCATGATATAAAGCAATATTATCATAGTGAATATGCACAGGCAGGACAGCCTAACGAGCCTTTCAACCACAATATACGAATGGAAAACGGCAATTTGAAACAACAGAGTCGTGCAGTAGGGAGTTCAAGGTCAGGAACTTAGTAACATTAATGGTAGTAGGTACACCTTCATCCAGAAAATATCAAACGTGTTCATAAGCATTTATGCTTGTAATCCAGTAAATGTTATGCATATAAATAAAACTGGCTTCTTGTTATGAGTATAAACACTATAACGCGTAAAATAAGAAATTGAAACTTTTAAAAGTTAAAAAAATCGAAAAATGGTAGCAACATTAGAGACAAAATTATGCATTCAGGCTATTTTTTTTATAAATTAGAAGATGTGCTATTTTCTATAAATTAGAGGATGGATATCTAAAGATGTGCCACATTCTGCATCCTAAGAGCTATTAAAAATTGTTAAAATAGGATTAGCAATGAAATATTTTTTCAGTTGTGAAAAGTTATTCTGAAAAATGGGTGCCAATCATATCTGCAAATATAGTACAAATTAGGTTTTTGCAAATATCGCAATTTTGTAGGTCGGACATCTATCATTGATGGTTACTAATAGACATATCATGCCTATCAGTCACTATAAGTGATAGATGTCTATTGGTAACTATATAAACATGACCTATCACTGATAGACATGATTGAGATATGTTGGACTTCTTCGAAAATTGTGCCATATTTGCACATTTGTTCAGCTTGCGCTAGTTTTGCTATGGGAGCTAAATTGCTATATTTGCAACTGCCCCAAAAAAAAAAAAACCCTGTTGCACCATTTCCATTTAAAAAACTATCAACTATGATATCAACAATATTTCTTAGTTTTGCTCTCATCTCCCTTTCATTTTCTTCATCATGGGATATCATTATTTTACTAGACAGTCAGAAAAAACATACATATGTTCATTTTGCAGTAACGAAATCACTTTTTATATAAGTAAATATCTAAATGTAATGATAAAAAAAAACCCAAGTTAAGAACTTAAGAAGGTACAATGTAAAGAAACTGGAGCCCAGGAACGGAATAGATAACTGACGCACTGTGGAAGAAACAGGCAAATATGGAACCATACCGAGAAGACAAGACAAGATGCATTAGTCTCTGCTTCTGAAAGGAACACTGTTCTACAAGATCAAGGGTGAACTCATCTCTTGCGCCCTGGAAAATAGCAATATAGCAGTTAAAATGATATGATTATAAGTGAGAATTAAAGATGTGCATTACAAAGGCCCAAAAGAACCAAATAACTTTTCCCGTCGGACAGTACAGAGTGCTGTAGTGCATGATTTTCTGAAATCTCTACTTGTATATGTGAGGTGGAAATGGTCGTTTTTGTTTAGCATTAAATTAAAACTCTCCTAATACTTTCATTCCTAAACGAAAAATATCAATTTATTTTATCAAAATAGTAATACGTGTTGTATTATGATTTTGGAGTCATTGACCATCACTCCAATGTCCAATCACAGAATATCAAAAGATAACACTACGCATATCCACTAACACCAAAATAATAATATTATTAAATGATGACAAGACGATCATATATCTTTAAAAAAAGAAAGATGAACTAATGCTATCTCCTTAACAAAGCTTAGGAGTCTTGAAGAAAGGAGAAAGAAAAAACGAGATTCTTCATATTCGTCCTCAGAGTTGCTCTGCACAGGAGGCACCTATTCGGACTGGCAGCTCAATAAGGGTTGCATTTCTGCACCTCGTGTATAGTGTTCAACCCCCTCAAAGCCACTGTCCGCAAGAAAAGCTTGCATTCTTTGCATTTCTTAGGCATCTTAGACTTCCATTGGGTAGTAGCAATAGATCTAGGGAGTACCTCCCTTTTTTTTTTATATCCGTGTGTCCGGACCAACTTGCGTGCACCTCGACTATTCACGGGCCAACCGCCTGAACCTACTACATTTGGTTGACAAGAAAACTCATAGGATATTAAATCCTAGGTAGGTGGCCACCATGGTTTGAACCCATTCCCTCTAAGTCCTTTGCTATTTACATTGGCCCTTTTTGTATGCCCTTTGTAATAGCTAGCCATGCATTTTGCAAGTGTTTCCACAAAAGAAGCACGGACACTAACACGAGTGCACGACACAGATACATCACAACATGGACATGATGACATGTAAATTTTCAAAAAAGTAGGACACGATACGCTGAGGACATGTTAAGTTTTTTATTAAAAAAAATATGTATACGTGTGCATATTATGACATATACTCAATATTTAATACTTCTGAAGTATATTTCTATCTTTGAACATCAACATAAGTACATAATATTCATAGGATAACCAAAATCCACAATATCCGAATGGATAAAAACCAAAAAAATTCTAGGAGAAGTAAAAAACAGAGGAGAAAATGCAAATAAAAGGAAAAAATGAAAAATTTCTAGGAGGAAAGACAAATGGGAGAAGAATGCAAATGAAACTACGACGAAGGAGAACGAGACAGAAGAAACAGCCTGCAAAAACGGAAAAGAAATGAAGAAAAATGAAAAGTAGAAGGAGAAAATGGAAAATATATATATATGTAGGAGAAAGAAACCAGAGGATAAAACGAGGAGGAGGAGAAAATCCTAGTGGGTTGGGCCTAATCTCACAAGGGCTGGTAGGCTGAATTTTTTTTTTCTTGATTACGTTCCCCCCGTTTCCCCGCCATGTCGTCCAAATGCTGCCCATGTCTGATAAGATATATACATATCGGACACTCTAATATCGGACCATTTTAACGTGTCCATGCTACCTTGGTTTCCAATGAAAGGGAGTGTTTTTCCTCCTTCCCTTTTTTGCAACCCTCACCCAAAAGAAAAAAGACATTTATTCATTAATAAAATTCTTGTTTTGTTTCTTCTAAAAAAAATAAATAGTTAGGTGAATATATAGTGTAACTACCATATTTAATAATTAGAGTGAGAGAGAGAGAGAGAGAGAGAAGTTAGATTCCATTGCCAACTTATTTCCTCTTTCAGCAAGAGGAATTCATGCCTATTTGAGAGTCAAACTGGCAAGAGAATGTACCTCAGGATTCCGAGGATTAACAGCATCAAGAACTTCTTTCAGAACTTCTAATGCATTGCCAGCCTTTTCAATTATACTGCATAAAACAATAAAAGGAGGGAAAAAGTTAAGTTGCGAGATAAAAGGCCATGGAAAATTCTGCATAATAACTGAGAAAAGAGCAGGCAGGATAACTCATATTAGATTTCTAAAAATTTATCCAAAACAAGAATAAAACCTTATCCACTGCTATTCTTATATCACACTTACACCTATAAGAAGCCTGAACGGAGAAACTTAAGATTTCTCCTTGAGCCCTATTATTGTAATAGAAGTTGATAATAACCATAATGACCTTTTGTAATTAATAATTTAAAACTATGAAAATAGATGAACTTACAACTTGAGCTGTTGAATCTTGCGTCAATAAATCAGATTCAAGCTATTAAAATCAGAATGGAAGGATCCCACTAAGCTCCTTATATCATTATACTAAAACAATTAGGTTTTTCCATTTTTTTTTAATTAGTTTGTAAAGACATACATCAATAGAACAGATTAGTAATAGTTGTGCTGTGCTGTAGAAAATAACCTCACAATCAATTTTACTCGAGGCCTTCACCGAAAAGAAGTCACACAGACCATTTTGTTGAAGGTAGATTAATTTGTAAAGGCAAGTAGAAATATTAAAATAATTGGCTAAATGGTTTAGTCTGTTTTTTTCAATTTAGTCTCTATTGTTTTAAAAGTTCTAGTTTACTTCCTTACATTTTAACATTTTTCAATTATACATTTTTTGTTGATGAACATTAAAATTGGTTTATGATAAGCTTAAATGGCATAATACTCCATGGGTTGGCAAAATTTAGAGAAGATATTAATTTTGCGAACGTAATTATGCATAGCCGACAACAAAAAGAAAGGTATTATGCATAGTCGACAACAGAAAGAAAGGTCTTTTATTTTATGTTTACATTAATTTAGCCATCGTGTCAACATGATCCTATTATGTTGCCACTCATGACCTTGTGCTCACTTGCTACTATCATCTCTTGAATGCTACGGAAACTATAACCGGATCAAACTTCAGATATGAAAACTAATTTGTTGCTTTCGGAAGAAAAAGCCCTACATCTAGAAGACACATGGAATGCATGGAGGACAAATGAGGATGACTAGTTAATATAGAATAGTTTGTCTTGTTCTTTAAGTATGGTTATGAACAAGGATACTAGAATTCCATAAATAGTTTACGTACAGATTTTTAGGATCTTCTGTATGCCAAAGAAAAAGTGGTTAACAAGACTAAACTGCGCAGAAGAATGAGCTGAACAAGATATACCTAGATTCTGGTAATATCTGAGGTTCAACTCTAGCAGCACCCTCCTGCTCAGATAATCTTATTACTCCATTTTGTAAAGTATTGTTATGCTGCTGGGTAGGATTATTTGGTGGAACAGAAGGAGGCCTTTGAGGAAACTGGACTCCTGCACTCTGAGAAACAAATGAAAGCTTTATCCATAAGTATTTGTAGATTCTAAAGTTACTGTATTTAATTGCAAAACATAGATCGTAGGTTCGGAGTTCCTAATCTTTTCTTGTGTGAAGTACCAAGGTCTTTCGATGGAACTTTCCAAGAAATTAGCTAAGCTATAATTCTTTCTTTACTTAAATAGTGTCCAACTACAAGGATTTCATTCGCTTCACATGATTAGATCCACACTTGTTTCAAAATTAATTAAAGAGCTACTACTTAGCAAATATGAGGGGGATGTCCTACCACCAAATCGTAATATGCTGAATAATACTGAGGGAACTTTCCGGAAGCACCACCAAGAGCTGTCTGTGTGGCATCTAGGAGGAGAAAGATTCTCTCTCGCACTGGTAAGTTAGACTGCAAAAACAGAAAAATCAGGAAATTGTTAAGAAAGAAAGAAAAATACCACTAGAAAAAGCTATGAAGAACCACCATCTAAATTTGGGTCACAGGCACTCTAGCCACACTCAGACACATGAAACTTAAATTAGAGTGTTAAATTATTTTTCTTTTAAAAGCGTTGTTGGAGAAAAACAAAATGCCAGAGAGATAATAAATTTTGAGAGTGAAAATTATTTTAACTTATTTTTTAAGCACATGATCGTATAAACATAATTAACTTCTTGAAACAATAGAAGTTACATCACTTTTTTTTATATTGCCTTGTACATTATAAAATAAAACAAATATCTGATGTAAATTTGTTGAGATACACAAAAATATTCAATTATTATAGCGGTTATATTCATGTCCTAATTTTCTGGAAATTGCCGCCATATCCATAATCCTGTTCATGCCCATGACTCTAAAGAAAAATTACTGGTCAACAATTTGCTGTAAATAAAATAGAACAAATTTACACCTTTTTCTTCACTGTCTTCACAAGAATAGGGAGAACCCCCGAATCAATCACCTGCTTATGAATCGGTTCTCCAATATTGTTCATCAACATTTCAAGTAACTGCACAAAAGTTCAAAATATTGATGGTGTGGTGTCCAGCAATGGAGCATCAGAATGACATATGAAGAATGTTTTGTACTGAGGACAAATTTAGTTAAAGATCAAAGCTTCATCAAAATATAATCGTTCTAGACCTTCTTTTTCTCCTCTTTTTTCCCTAACAAGAAAAACTTTAATTATGAATAGAATAGGAAAAATACAACTAGATGTCGAACCTATAAGCAAAGACCAAGCAGTGAACCAAAAAATCTCTCGAATTAATAAGAGAAGAAAATTATAAAATTCCTTGCGGGATTCTGAAGATCTAATAAATTAAACCCAATCCAAACTCGGAAAAGTTCCCTCAAAAACAAAACCCCTTCTTTCCTTTTTCACATTACATAGCCAAGATGGACTGGAACAAGACCAAACGAACCTCAACTTAGGATCGAAACACAAATTGACGAAGAAGATCATCTACTTTACAGAGTAAGCCCACTAGGGACTCAAAGACAAAGATTCACTCTTATCAAATAACATCTTGGTAATCTCACATCGTTTGATAATTCTTGGGTTCTGTGAAAGTCTGAAAGATCAAAGGAGAATATCTTTCAACTTCTTGGTGGAGTGAAGTTGGAGAATAAAGCTAAGGATGGATATTGCCATCCTTCCCACCCCACCATCTAGATGCTTTCTAGTTCTCTTTCTTACTCGTGATTCAGGATGAAAGGCCTAGTATTCATTTGCATACTTTTTCCTAATGGAGTGGATGCATATAAGCATGAAAGAAAGCACATAATTTTATATTAAATGACAAAAGGAATCAACATAACAATATAAATATATTTCTTACCAAAACTGCATAAAGTTGTGTGTTTGCGGTCTTACTTCCTATTCTTTTTTTTATTGCTTTTACGACATCTTTAGCTTGCCTGCAGAAGTAGAGCCAAGAAAGGCATATAAAGAAAATGACATGTTTATAAAATGTATTTTACACCACATTGGCTTGTAAATGTGAATGTTTATAGCATGAACCAAGCATTCCACATGTCATGAAACATATCAAGTTATATGATTAGAGGCAGATAGAGCCAGAATACTTTTTAAGTCAAGAATAAAAATGGGCAGGTCTACAAGCAACCACACAAGTGCATGTCTGAATTCCTCTTTTTCCTAGAAGTTTCATTTTATTGACACGAAATAAATTTTTAGGAAGCCATGGGTGACCAAGAAAAATATATTTATATTTAGAAAAGAAACAGGAGATTCACAAAAGTAGCACAATAATTTTTTTTTTATATCCGTGTGTTCAGGCCAGCTTACGCGCACCTCGACTATTCACGGGTCTACCGCCTGACCTTACTACAGTTGGTTGACAAGGAAACTCGTAGGATATTAAATCCTAGGTAGGTGGCCACCATGGTCTGAACTCATTCCCTCTAAGTCCTTTACTCTTTACATTGGCCCTCATTGGCCACTTGGGTCATCCTATGATGGTTAAAGTAGCACAATAAATCACCTCCAGTTCAATATTTAATCACATAAAATTAGCAATGTTTTTATAAGTATCCTACAGAAAGCATAATTTTCAGCACAGATTCAGCATTTTTTGGAATGAAAAGAAAAACCAAAGTGGTGGAAGCTTTGAAGGGTGGGCATATCTTTCAATTAAGGTTGTTTCTGGGGATGGAAAAGAGGGTAGGATTACAAATGTTTATGGCCCAAGTAAGAAAAGGATATTTTTACGGCAGGGATTAATTTGGCTTTGTGGTATTGTAGTAGTGGGTATGTAGGAGGGGAATTCAATATTAACCAGTGGGTCAATATTGACAAAAATAAGCAGGGATTTCTGATGTTTGTGACATTTAAAACTTTGAATGGGAGAAGGGTGAGGTTTTGGGAAGATGCTTCGGTTGAGACCTCCTCCCTATCCTCTCTTTTTCCAGAGCTTTACGGTTTATCTTCTAGAAAAGGTTGTTCAATTGCTGATTGCCAGGTGGAAAATTCCAACACTGGGGATTTTGGCTTGAGAAGAAATTTATTTGATAGGTAGATTCCTAGATGGATTTCACTAACAGAGAAGTTGGACTTAATGCAAATAGGGCAGGGGAAAGAAAAAATCTGGTGGTAGGCAGATAGCGGCAGAACTTTTTCAGTCAAATCTGCCTTTTCCCTTCTTGTTAAGCCTTTGGTTGCTCAATGCCCCTATGGTGAACTCCATTTGGAATTTAAAAGAGTCCAAGAAAGTCAAATGTTTCCTACAGAAGCGTGAATACAGCCCAAAAACGTTATGTCTCTTGGTTGCTGCCTTTGTGATTTTTGGAACAAGATACAAACTTTTCATTGATGAAATGAAAATGAACAAGAAATTGTTCAAAGATACAAACTCTCAAAACAGTGAAAAAGAAAGGAAAAAAAACAGCAAAATACAAATAAATAGCAAGTGCTGCCTTTGTGATAGAAGTGAAGAAACGGTGGATCACATTTTCTGTACTGTTCTTCTACTTATGGGGTCTGGTCTTTAATTAGATCTCTGTTTGGGTTATCTATATGCCCCCCCGGTACAAATTAGATGATTTTATTTTTTTGGAGAATTTTGGTGGCTCTCTTCGTAAGGTCAAAGCTAATATTCTTTGAAATTGTGCAGTTTGGGCCTTGCTTTGGCTGCTATGAGAGAACAAAATTGTAGACTTTTTGAAGTAAAAAAATCTTTAGAGGATTGTTTTTGTAATAGTGTACAGCAAACTGCTTCTTGGTGGACTACAAACCACAATAAATTTTTTTGTAATTACAATCTCAATATGATTGTAAATTATTGAAAAGCTACAATTGCTTAATTTGTGGGGAGGATGATCACCACCCTCAGCTTTTAGGTTGTTCTTCTCTTTTGAGTTTTTTTAATATAGTGTTTCTTATCCAAAATAAATAAATAAGACCATCTCTTTTATGAGGACTAGAACTATGGCGATGAGATATTATTAAGGCATAATTGCATAAAGTGATATTTTCATCCATCCATCTAATATATGGGTTAGGAGTTCATAAATGCCTACTTTAAATCTCATCTATCCTAACATGCTTTTTAGACAAACTCCAAATAAGTTTCTTTCTTATAAAACCAAACAAACTGGGAAAAGATACGACAAGAACATTATATGGCACACCTTTGATCACGAGCAACTAATTCACAGATTTCAATATTCTTCATCCAATCTGTTTCAGCCAGTTTCTCACTTGTTGCAGAGTTGACTAGTTCGGCAGCCATGTTTATTATCCCTTATTAAAAAAAAATACAAAACAAAATAAAACGTAAGATTAGAAGAGGCAGATTGCAAGCTGAAAGGACGTCTATAGTATCTCAAAGACTCGGAAAATATTTATGAAAGAAAATAAAGGCAATCAAGTGGTAATTTTTAACAGGAATCCTCAAAGCTAAAAGAAGTATTTAAAAAAAATAAAAACAAATTCCATTTACCACAGGAACTTGTGAGAGAAGAAACTATATCTAAAGTCTTCCTGACATTCTTACTCCAAATTTACGTGATGTTCCTACTCAAGAGATTAGGTAATGCACAGAAAATAACTACTTATCACATATGACAAAGTAAAAACTCAATATAAGTACAAATTCAATCACTGAAATGAACCAACAACAGGTCCATCCTTAGGTTATGCAGCGCGTTGTTCATTTGTAAAACGCTTCACTTACTAATGTTCAAGAACAACTATTGTTGAGCATGATTTCATAAAGAAAAATAAAAATCTCCTACACTAAAAATTTATTTTTAAAAAAAGGAAGTAGAGAATTATATAATAAATAACAGAGATAAACAACCTCCTAAATATTTTTAAGATCGCTGTGGAAGCGACAAGTTGTCAGATAGACCAAACCCCTCAATGCTCTACAATCTCTGGAACTCTTTAGGCATACTGCACCAATAGAAGCACGGATAGAAATCAAGAAGGCTCTTCGATGTTGGAACCATAAGCCACTCTGAAAGGGGAAAAAACAAGCTTAAGAACCTTACTACATAATTGAATAATCCAGTTCATAAAACGTTGAACCATTTAACTAAAATGGTACTCAATGTGAAACCCAGCTGACTACAAACTGATTGGAGCAAAATAAGAGAAGATTTGCGAAGTCATAGACATTAAACTAAAATGAAATGAGTTCAACACAGATCTCAACAAAAAGACCCAAGACCCAAAAACAGCAGAGAAGGGAAAAAGCTTACCAGATTAGAGTAAAGAACTGAAAAAATGGAAAACCCTAAAAGAGAATCAGCATTTTTGAGAAAGAATGAAGAGCTCTCTGGGTTAGCGTTTATGATGATGAATGGATTAGAAGGAGAAGTTGAAAGGATAACAAACAAACAAACAAATAATGGATGGAGGGTTGATTGGAGTTGAACAGCAGTAGAAAATGAGCAAAAGAATCTCTGTTTCTCTCTCTAGAAATCTGTGTCCCTTGGTGAGAGAGTGAGCGTTTCAGCTAAAGAAAAGCTTATAGAGCAAAGCAACGGCACCGCCATGGATCTACGCTGTCCAAACGCCTTTTTTTATTACTTTGTTTTCCCAAAAAACTAAAGTATCTGAGCTCTGCTATCCTCACCTGCCATTCACTTTACATCACTCACCCGCTCCCTTTCTTCTTCTGACACGTGGCGGATGCCACGCCTCAAGAAACTGACTTAACTAACTTTAAATAACATCCTCCACTACTGCAACTTTATTTATGTTTTCATGTGGAGTTCACAGATTTTAAATCAACTCCTACACACAGAAGTCAGATTTTCAATATTTATAATAGTCCATCTTTTTCTTCTTCTTTTATTTCTTTCCAACACAACATGCATGTAGGCAGGGATTCGAACTCATAAAATTTTTGTCAAATATATATGCTATTGAGGGATAATTTACCAAAAAAGTACGAATCGAAGTAAGACCTCTTTCGAGCTTGGGTCGGAGAAAAACCCACAAAAAACCGGGCAATAATTGTGCAATTTCCTATTCTTATTGGTAAATAGCTTCCGAAAGCGACGCTCTCCTCTGCCTGTAACCCGATTGCACGACCGACGCAGCCAGCACGGCCATTGCAC